GGCTAGGGGGTTTAGTGGATAGAGTGCTGAGTCTGGAGGAAGGAAGATCTGAGTTCAAATCTGGCCTCAGACACTTACTAGCAGTGTGACCCTGGACAAGTCACTTAACCTCTGTTTGCCTTAATCCACTGGAGAAGGAAATGGCCAACCGCTCCAGTATCTTTGGCAAGAAAAGTCCACGGACAGTATTGGCGTGCTATGGTCCACATGATCACAAAGAGTTGGACACAACTAAATAACAACAAAACTGTGTGTCAGGTACAGTGCTAAGCACTTTTTAGGAAAATTAGCTCCGTTGATCCTCACAACAACCCTGTGAGTTAACTGTCATTATAATTCTCGTTTTACAGTTGAGGAAACTGAGGCAAAGAGCAATTAAGTGATTTGCCCAGCACCACACAGCCAAGAAGTGTCTGAGATTAAATTTTATCTCAGGCCTTCCCAACTCCAGGCCCAAGGCTCTATCCACTGCCCTCCCTGGGCTAAACAAGATAAAACTTCTCTGGGCTTCCTTTCCTCAGCTCTAAATCGCAAGGGGTTAGACTAAATGATTCCTAAGACCCCTTCCAGCCTAAACCTCAATCCTACCTGTGAGACAGACTGGGACCTAAACTCTACTGGCTGGCTCCAGCTGTCACCAGCTACGTGAGGGAACGGGGCAGTGACTGTGGGAGTTCTAGTAAGATCACAAGGTTATAGCTAGATGGAGCCTTGGAGACAATCGGGTCCAGCCCCATCATGTGAGAGGTTGTGAAGCCTACTGGATAGAGTGCTAGTTTTGGGGTCAGAAAGGCCTGGATTCAAATCCTGCCATGACCATGAGCAAGTCATTTAAACTTCTCTGAACCCCAGTAAATTGGATCTGCTTCTCACAAGATTGCTGGAAGACATAATGTACGGAAAGGCTCTGTAAACTTTAAAGCATTATACATATTAGCAGGCTGTTTGGTTTTGGAGAGTGGTCTAGGCCTATGATTTCATCAATATGCAAACTGCCTCCATTGATACAGAGGAAACTCACTGGTAATCTATGATCTTAAGAGTGGTCAGGGCACTGAGGGGTTAACTTTATTAAATACCCAAAGGTCACAAGGCTAATAGGGGTCAAAGGTAGCACTCCAATACAGGTCTTTCTGACTCTAGGACTGGTCCTTTTTTTTTTTTTAGCTTCCAGGCCAGCTCACTAGCCCATGCTGCCTCTCCTTATTAGATTATGACCATACAACAGAGACTATTGAGGCTAAGTGACTTGCCCAGGGTCACACAGCTAATAAGTGTCAAATGTTTGGTCTGAGGCTGGATTTGAACTCAGGTCCTCCTGATTCCAGGGCTGGTGCTATATCCACTGTGCCACCTAGCTGCCTCTCAAAAATTCTAAAAAATGAATGTTAACATTTTTTGTTTACATGTAATTGAGAAAAAGAAAAAGAAAATCATAGGGAAAAATGGAGTGGGGGGAGAGAAAGAACCTTCTACGTGCCAGGCACTGTGCTAAGTGCTGGGAATACAAAAAGAGGAAAAAGACAGTTCCTGCCCTCAATAAGCTCCCAATCTAATACTGCCTCTTTGGCTAATGGTGGCACTTCTGGAATGAGTGGGTCTTCCCCTTACCTCTGATGGATCACAGGCTCACTGATCTAGAGCTCGAAACAATCTCAGGGGTCATTTAATCCACTCCCCTCATTTTAGAGTTGAGGAAACTGAAGCCTAGTGAGGTTAACTGATTTGCCCAATGTCAGGGGCAGAGCCAAGAGTCAAACCCCAAACCTTTGACTCCAAATTTAGTGTTCTCTCCACTGTGCCACCCCACTGCCTTTCCCATCTGGGTAGACAGACTTAACATTTAAAAAACAAAAACCACAAACACTTTTGAAGTCTTCAGCTCTCTGGGACAGAAAGGACTCTGAGAGGTCCTTATAGACATTCCTCTGCTCCTATCCCTGTATCACTTCAGGGCCTCTAAAGACCTAGCCCTCTGCTGTTAGAAATTCCACACACCAACGAGGTTAGATCTTGAGTCAATTTCTAAGAAAGGCACATTTTTTCAGCTACCCTCTGAGGCTTAGCTCATGCTCTGGCCCTCTCAGAAAAGAATATGATACAATACTCAAAGATCCCAGACCAACCCCCTAGACCCATACACACGGATCTTTTGAGCCACACACACACACACACACACACACACACACACACACACACACACACACACACACA